GATGCAGATCGTGTAATGCAGCCGCGATGGCCAGTTTTCGCCCTTTGTTCTTAGGCTGAGCGCTTGTCCCTGCTTCTTTCCTTTTCTTCCTAATTTTGTTTCTTTCATGACGTCGCGCCAGTTTGTGTCTATCCAGTTGACCGATCGACCAAATCACCACCATGTTTGTGGCCACTCTTTTCCGCCTCAGCTTGCTCCAGCTGGCAGTAGCAAAAGTGCAATTTCTGGTATGCTCTAACAACTATATTGTTTGACCTCGGACACTAACGCAACCTTCTCGACAGGGCGTGGGCATAGCTGGGGGCGATTTTGGATGCACAATTGATGTAAGCTGATCACAGACAAAGACTTGACAAGTAAATGAACAAGACAGCTGACTCTCAAATAAAGGGATCATGTCCAACCGGCTCAACGCAGCTGCCACTTGGCTCTTTTGGACTTGGCGGCGGTGATGGGGAGGGCCAAATGAAGCATTTTGTCGAGGACAACATGATGAACCTCTTCCGCCTTCGTAAGTTCAACGTTGAAACATCCATCTTTCACTCATTCCCCAGATCTGACCCAGTTAGCTGTCTCGTGGCAATATCTCGTCAACAACCAGCTGGGCGGCTCTCTCAACGAGGCCAACTTTGCAAAATACGACCGTCTAGTCCAGGCCTGCCTCGCAACAGGCGCACAATGCATGGTTGAAATCCACAACTTTGCCCGCTGGAACGGCAAGATCATCGGCCAGTCCCCCGACGGCCCGACCGACGACCAGTTCGTCGCATTATGGGCGTCACTAGCGGCCAAGTACGCCAAGGCCGACAAGATCATCTTCGAACTGATGAACGAGCCGCACGACCTCGACATCAAAGTTTGGGCAGCGACCTGCCAGAAGGCCGTCACGGCAATCCGGAGTGCCGGCGCTCTGACGCAGACCATCCTCCTGCCAGGCACCGGGTTCTCAAGCGCCGGAGACCTTGTCTCGAGCGGGAGCGGAGAGGCCCTCGTGAGGATCAAGAATCCAGATGGGTCAGCCGACAACCTATTGCTAGCTGTGCACAAGTATCTCGATGCCGACAACAGCGGAACACACGCCGAGTGCGTCACCAACAACACAGCCGCATTCGCCGAAGCTGCCGACTTTTTACGCAAGGCGGGTCGGAAGGCCATCGTTAGTGAAACGGGGGCTGCGCCAAGCAACACGCTGTGCTACATGCACTTTTGCGTGCAAAACGCCTTCATCAACGCTAATTCCGATGTTTTCGTCGGGTTGGTGAGCTGGGGTGCCGGAAGCTTTGACTCTTCGTACTTGATGAGCCAGACGCCCGTGTTTGAGGGGGGGAGGTTTATCGACAACCCACTGCTGGCGCAGTGCATGGTGGGGATATGGATGGCCTCGGATTACCTAGCGACAGTGACCTCAGATGGGCTGGTCATGACAATCACCAACGGCACGACAATCACGGCAGATGCCGGCGCGGCATCTACGGCTACCGGGAATGGTGTTGGGAGTTTGTCTAGTGGGTTGTCGATGCCAACATGGTTGTTGGTGGTGTGTACGATTATGAATCTGCTTTGAGATTTTACATCAGTTGCTACGTGATTGCTAATATACCCCTGGTTTTGGTTTTTCCCGAAAGAGGCCCTGTTGTATACAAGTGCAGGCGTACGACAATGAGCCTTTAGCCGAAGTTCTCAGAGACAGCCAGAATCGCCTTGGCGTTTGAGCCGAGATTTGCGAGAGGTGAACAGACTTGAAGCAAGTGGAAAAAGACTTCAGGTCTCGTTTTGTCAGTTGTAGAATCCTGTCTTGGAGTATTTATGTGTGTACTCTTATTTTGTGACGCCGGGGCCGCCAATATCGGAGTGCTCCGAGTCCGCTGAAACATTAGTGAGGGAGTACACAATTTCGATCTGATACGATGCTACGAGTCACTGCATGGAGCGGGGTAGAATATCGGAATAGACTTTGATATGAGCGGCACTGGCTCAAAGGTATTTTACCCACGTGCCGCGAACTCGGGATGGGTTGATGCTCCACGCGCGGTGCTTGGCTTATTCGTCGTGTAAGTTCTGCGTCTCCTCTGCCACCTGCTTGGTACTTTCGCACAGCGCCGCGGCCGCGCAAAATGGAGCGTGGTTGGAGGACGGTCACTGCGCCTGTCAAAGCGAGCAGAAAAAGCTATTTGACTTGTTTTGCGTAGGTGCTACCATGGCTGGATTGGTCCAATGCAGTCGGAAGGACTTCCAGTTGGTGGGCTTGGAAGTGGCTTTGGGCTGCAAGTACCTGACCATTCTGCCAGGCCCGGGGTTTAAATGTCCTAGATTGGGTGAAAACAAGATTACTGGAATATAGTGAGCTTGTATTACGAGGCTATATTCGCATATAACTGTCCGTAGACGACATCCGGTAAAAAGGGCGACACATTCTTGAATTCTTTCTTTCCTTCTCTTGGCTGCTCACTGATTTCCTCACTGCAATCATGTGTTACAAGCTTCAGCAATTGTTTACAATCCTGGTCTTATCAGTGTCTGTGACTGCTTTGACACCAAAGCAGCTTGCTCGAAAAGATGCCCGTGCCGCTGCGCCAACAGTAGATCTTGACTATTTGCAGTATCAGGGGTATTACAGCCCGACATTTGATAGCAACATCTTCAAAGGGTAGGTGGCCATGTATCTTGTGTTTGCCAGATGGGCGTGCATTGATGCCTAACAGGATCCGATACGCTGCTCCGCCGAAGCGATGGCAGCTCCCGGAAGCCCCGGCAGTGAATCGTACGTCGGTGATACAGGCCACCAGCGACGCACCGAGGTGTCCCCAGTCTTTACCAGGACCAACGTCAGTGGTGCCAGCCCTTGCAATGCTGTTGTGATTAGGAATACTGACAGGGAGTCTGACAGGCCGCCCACCGTCAACTTTAATGCTTCTATTCTGGGAAATGAAGACTGCCTGTTCTTGAACGTATTTGCGCCAGCAAACGCCAAGAAGCTCCCTGTCCTCTTCGCGATCCGTGAGTACACCGAAGATGCAATACTCACTCATCTCTAACATGACGTAGACGGTGGCGGCTATGGGGCGGGATCGGCGGCTTCAGCTGATTTCTCATACATGGCCCAAACGGTAAACAACAGCTTCGTCTCGGTCGTCATCCAGTACCGCCTTGGCGCATTCGGGTTTCTCTCTTCGGCGGAAGTGGCGAGGCATGGAATTGCCAACGCAGGTCTTTATGACATGCGTTTTGCTCTTGAGTGGGTTCAGAAGTACATTGATCGCTTCGGCGGCGATCCCGGTCAAGTCACTATTGTGGGTGAGTCGGCCGGTGGTGGGTCCGTCATGTTGATGGCCATGGCGAACGCGGGTCGGGATGGCACCAGCCTGTTCAGGAGAGGCATCGCAAGTAGCCCCTATTTTCCGACTCAGCCGTAGGTCCCCGCCGCCGATCATCTTGACATGATGTGTCTCTGACACGTAGCAGGAACTACGATGACGAGCTGCCCACCGATTATTATCAGCAATTTGCTCGACGGGCCGGGTGTCTCGACGAGGGCAAGACTGTTCCCGACAACGGGACAGTCTTCAAGTGCCTCCAAAACGCCGGGACCCTGGCTCTCCAGAATGCAAGCGCCTACACCAGCTACGCGGCCAGATATGGCCAATGGGCCTTCATCCCCGTCACCGACGGGAGCCTGGTCAGATCCCAGCCCAACAGGCAGCTCCTCCGTCGCGAGGTAAACGGAGAACGCATCCTCACCGGCGTGAGCCCCCCCTCCCCCTCCCCCACCCACACAACAGCAGTAAACTCACCAACCCCCCCCTTAGAACAACGCCAACGAAGGCACCTACTTCGTCCCGCAAAACATCACAACCGAGGCCCACTTCACCGCCTTCGTCCGTCTAATCTACCCCTCCCTGCCCGACTCGGCCATCGCCTCCATCCTCGCCCTCTACGCCATCCCCGCCAACATCACCCCATCCTCCCCGCGATACGACACCGACGGCCTCCACCCGCCCTACGCGACCGCCGTGTCCGCCTACGCGGTCGGCTGGCAGCAGGCCGCTAACAACCTCTACGCCGAGACGACCTTTGTTTGCCCGGCCTACTGGCTCGCCGACGCCTACACGCCGTCCGCAACCAGCAACAGCCGGGCCCCCAAGAAGGCGTGGCGGTACCAGTTCTCGACCCCCAACGCTTTCCACGGCCTGGACATGGCGCCGCTGCTGGAGAGCCCGGCGGCGGCGGCCACCGGCAACGGGGCTGTCGTCGTCATGGACGAGGCGTTTCGGAGGGGGTTTCAGAGCATCTGGGGGCGCTTTGTCGTGGGAGGGGACCCGACGCTATCCGCGGGGAGTGGTGATGAGGGTGCGATTGCCGCGGCGGTCGGCAGCGCGTCGTGGAGGCTGTGGGGAGAGGGAGCCCGGTTTGGCCTGCTGAACCTCAACGTGACGGACGCGCAGCCGCATAAGGCAGACTGGGCTGTGGCCGATGCGCTTGCTTGGGAGGGGGGCCGGGGCGCGCGGTGTGCTTTGTGGGCGGAGATTGGGGTCAGATGAGGGCTGTCTCACGGACCCTAGATATGGGGTGCGTCATATGCACGGCTGTCTTTACGAGGGGGGCCGTGTACCTACCTGGAGAGCTGGTGCATCTTGATAAGGGCGCAGGGGGAGATGTTGATGTGAGCTTGGGCAAAGGCTCGTATTCCTGCCGGCAGTGGACTTGGTTTCCTAATCCGCCGTATGGGGATCGACGTAGGTACCAGATAGGGTACGCTTGTTGCTGTCCCGGAGGCCGATGCATCCATCCTTTGAGGCTGCTTCGAGGGGGCCATGTCAGATGGCATGTCTGCAGGATTACTGGACGACAGGTATACAGCTTTGGATAAAAAACTGGGCTTTGCAGTACCTAGGCCTTTTCCGGCAACCAATTCATGGAAAGATAGCACCAAGGACATCGCGGGACTGAACTATCCGTCCTTTGATTCTGCAAGGGAGCAGCCGGCAAAAAGATGTGCTTCATGATAACGGGGAGATTCGAGCTCACGCCCTTTCGGACCACAGGATCCAGAGATTGTATCAAGGTTCTCACCCTAACGTGGCGCCTTAACCTCTCGGCCACATAACCTTGCAGTGTTGATTGATGAGACTGTCATCTTTTTAATGGGTTGATGGGGTTGAGATGGGGCTCTGCGGCGAGTCTGTGGAGTTGTGGATCAAGACTGATCTTCATATCCCCAACCACAAATCCATGGATCGAAGGGAACGACCAGGGCAGATAGTGGATCTCAGATCTCCGGGGCGGGGATGCCTTCCCGTCCCCCATCCAAGGCGGGATGTTGGCGATCCCCTGATTTCCTGTCGTGCATATTGCAATGTCGGTAGATATTGCGAATGGCTGGATATTGCGAACACAATGGTCGAGAGCTCGTCTGTCTGATTTGTAATGCGCTTTAAGGCTGGTATGCTCTTGTTCAGTGTTTTGAAGGAGGCATGGAGCAGCATCAAAGCATGCAAGACTTGGGGGTGTGATATCTTGGCGCGCAGGCGCGTTTCTCGGGTACACCGTCTTGGTCTAGTGGTCAAAGTGCCACTAAGCAGAGATCCTTCGTTCCCCCAACTCGAGCTGGCTCTTTAGGGATAAGTGCCTGCCCCCAACCTTTTCGATGACATAGATCTCAGACCGGTTTTGGACATCCCTTTGGCGCTTGTCTGTTTTCTGCTAGCCTTGGCATGTTGGTAAATCGTGACGTGTAAGTCGCAGAGGGTTACTGTGTTGACAGGATAGTCGTGCTCGACGGGCAATTGCTTCCTCAATTACTTGAAGAGTTGTGAGGTGGCACGGGTGGCACCTGTTGAGTGCCTACTTTGCGGAGCGGATGCGCAGAGTTGTGCTGCGGCCAGTAACAGCGGGAGCTCCCTTGTTCCGCTGGCTGCGATCCGGCACTGCTACCCGACCGTTAGGTGCTCTTCGCACATAAAATGTCTCAATGCGTAGTGGTGCGGGTGGCTTCCACTGACTGTCGATCTCCTTCCCATCCCGCAAGTAGAAGAAATCCTATTCTTTTGCGTGTAATGATTCGGAACTGCCTCAGAGCCTATTCAGGGCCAAACAGAGCAGATCCGCGAGCCAGAGGCAGCCGATGCACTCAACAGACGAGCCGAACGCGATTCCTGCCGCCGGCGGGCTCTCTAAAGAGAGGTGGTAGATAGGATATCAATCAACCCCGTTGTTGGATCGCATAGGAGCCTGTGCACAGAAGCAAAGGCAAAGCTGAATTGCACCAGAGCTTTGCGATATTGTGCAACTCGTAGGATTGCCACGCCTTAGCTGGTTGTTGCACGCGATCCCGCCGTCCTTTGCCCTGTCCTGCCCTGCTCTGCCTGGTAGAGAGTAGTTGAGCGGCCAAGACTCTCTTGTCTTGGTCCTGCAGCACGAGTCTGCGTCTGCACACTCGTACCCCTGAAACTGGACATGTTCCTCGGCCCCCCCGAGGATCTATGGGCGGATTTCAGTGCAGGCCCTGGCTCGACTCGGTATGGCGAATGGTTTATTGTGCTTGGGATAGGTGCCAGTTGCCCAAAGGCGGATCGCTGACAGCACAACGATCAAGAAGGCTGCCATTCCGTCTGCCCAAACACAACATCACGACACCCATCAATAGCGCTATCTGGTTTCAGCTTCATTCCCCTGGCGACGCAGCATGGCCATCGTACATACATGTATGCATGTCCCGAGTCGCGGCAGTGGCAGATAACAGCCAAATTCGAGTCAAATAATCCAGCCATCCTCACGCCCTACCCCACCCCTCGCGTCGGCCAAAACGTCGACAGCGCTAGCTACGGCCGGGTCGCGTAACTAAAACCTCGGATGGCGCGACCGTTGTTAGGCGGTTTTGAGAGGGCAGCCCTCTCGCCGAGGGTTCAACTGCTGCCCCGAGCTTCTAGAACCCTTCACGGAAGGGGACATGACTGGGACCCCACCACCATCGAGCCTCGTTTCACATGCTCATATCTGGTCAACAACCAGGTCCTCAGCACATGGCTTGCGAGTGGCATCCTGTCTGCTTATCAAAGTGGTCAAATGTCAAATTGCGACAGGGGCCATCTCTGCCGTCCCTATTGCCGTCTTAATGCTGTTCCCGGGCGTGATCAAGCACGTTTCCCGTGGCTGTTCTTGGCCGTTCAGCCGCTCCCAGTGTTCTCGCGATACAGATTGTAATTGGGGGCGCCATCACACGACTGAACCCCGAACGTGGCAGAGTGGGGGTTGGCGGACGTTGGGCGTTGGGGATTGGGATTGGGGAGTCGGGACACCAACCAGCAAGCCGAGGCGACCCGTGGGCCCGGGATTCCGATCATTCCAGTCGAGAACGGGGCTGGGCGAAGGGCTCGCATGAAAGATGGCGGGCTCTGCGCACAATTGGCAGCCTGGTATCAGTCGTCGAGCTCATTTGGGAAGCTTAGCAACCGGGGAGGACAAACTGTGGCAGCCACGATAGCGTGGCCGAAATCCCAAAACCTCACTCGCTTCCCCAGCGACGGGTTGGGCAGCCCTGGGCATGCTCCCAGTTCGAACAGGGGACCTCCTTTCTGTGTCTCTCTCCAGCTTTGTGGCGTCTCCTCTTCCCCTTCATTCGACACTGCCCCTGCTTTGAACCCCAGACATGGGTCGAGCTAGCGAATGACGTATCGAGGGCGTGGCTGCCTTCAGTCTGCGTATGGCTGCTTTTTTGCTGGCACACTCCCAGAGCCCTGATTCTGTTATCACATCCTTTCTGCAGAAGTGCTGGAGGATCACTAGCGTCTTCTCCAACGGGCGGGTCGACTTGGCCAAGGCTATGCGTGCCGCACTCACCCCTCCAGTCCCGCTCCAGTCTTCCCTGTGGCCGGGTGGCGAGGCTTACCCTACCCCCACGCGATCCTCTGCAGTCCTCTGCGGTGCTCTGCTTGGCGGGTGGTCCCCCATGTTGCCCTCCTAGGGTGTGCAGGCCCCTGGGCTCTGGGGATCACCCCTCCTCTGGGTTGGCCAAAACGTTCCCAGTCTTGAAATGTTCAAATACTCGGGAGCACGCCATCGACCACAAAATTGTGCGAGCGTCCTCTCACCACCTGGATATACATAAGTGCTGCAGCATATCCGGCCCTCGACTGGACTGCGGATCGGTCGTCGAGGGCCCGCCAGGCGCCGACGACGAGAGCATTGCCAACCACCACCACCAGTCTTACCACGCTGACGACGGCCACCATGTCGGGCTACCATTCCATGTTGCAAATCCGGGGAGAGGTGGCGCTGACGCCCCAGCAAACGAAGGTGCTCGAGGTGGTCACGCGCACGGCTTCGGCCCTCTCCGCCCTCGGGGTTATCACCATCATCACCACCTTTTACCTGTCGCGCCATTTCCGGAACCCCATGCATCGCCTCATCTTCATCAACGCCTTTTTCAACGCTTTCGACGTCACCTGCACCATGACTTCGGTCAGCGGCCCGGCAGCAGGAAACCCCTCGGCCCTGTGCCAGTTTCAGGGCTTCCTCAACCAAATGTATGCCTATAATAAGTCGGTACTAATATTGTCGGAATCTGACAATCGAGCCCCTAGGTTTCCGGTTGCCGATGTCATGTGGACTCTTGCCATGGCCATAGATGTGTTCCTCATAGTCTTCCACTCGTATGATGCTACGGCGTTGAAGAAGCTGGAGTGGAAGTACATGGTTGGCATCACCACCATGACCTTCATCCCTGCCTTTGTCTTTCTCTTTATCAACACCGACGAAAAGGGGCCATTCTATGGCAGCGTAACCGTAAGCTTGAAGCACCCGCTAGCAAGTGCAGACACTGATGCGTGATTAGATCTGGTGTGCCATAGCTCCGAAATGGGTGCTCTTTCGCATCGTCATCTATTACGTGCCCATTTGGTACGTCTAACCCAACTGTGCCGTAGCCTTGTCTCAGTCGCTAACCTTTCCTCGTGGGGTACGCAGGTCGATGATCCTCATCATCATCGTGCTGTACTGTCTCATTGGCATTGAGATTGTCAAGCGGAGACGGGCGCTGGCCTCCATCACCAACAATTCGCAAATCGTTTTCATGGACGATGTCGTTATGCCAGCTGTCGATATCAATGTGCGCGAGTCGTACAGCAACTCCCACAACACGGTAGCCATGACTGTCGAGTTTGATGTGCACTCGAATCCTCGGAACGGGTCGACCTCACGCTCGGGTGACGAGTCGCTCCTGCTAAGCAGCACCTCCAAGTGCTCCGCCGCTACGAACCACCAGATGACAGCGAAGCGGTCGTCGCTGTCCTTCCGCCAGTACATCCTCATGCCCCTCTTCTTCTTCCTTGCCCTCCTTTCCGTCTGGGTCGCCCCGTCGACCAACCGTGTCGCCTCCTTCATCGACCCCAAGTTCAACTCGTTCCCCCTGCTGCTCGCCGTCGGCACATCGGGCTCTCTGCGCGGCTTCTGGAACGGCCTCGTCTTCATCACTATCGGCATGAAGTCGCGCAAGAGGACCAAGGACCTCGAGGGGATGACTATGCACCGCTCCAGCTAAAGCGGCAATATGGCGCGTGCCATATTGCGCGCATTCGCAAAGAGCTCCGCAACCGGGTTCTGACGCCATCCGCAGCGGACCGAAAACACACCCAAAGATGAGGCACGTGGGTCAGTGCAAGTACTTGGAGGAAGATATTGGTGGCCCCGCAATTGTGGGCGGAGATTGGATTCTCTCGAGAGGGAAGGTCGAGCCGCGAGCGATGGACGATGCCGGTGTGGAGGGGGGATGACGCCATACCAGCTAGCGATTGGCATCGACACCATCATCCTGAATCAGGACGCAAGGACTGGCATAGAGCAACAAAGGCCGAGTCGAGTCCCTGGGATATGTCGCATAGATCTTGGAGTAATCGTGGGAAGTAAGCAGTGATGAAAAGGTGAAGGCAGTTGGGGCGTCGCGTGGTTGGTTCCGCAACACTAACTGAACTGTGGAAAGAAGCTGGGCGCTCGCAGATGCCAAATTTTGGGTCTGAAATCGACTGAGAGTTTTGCATCTCAGGAGTATCGCTCTTTCCAGGTGGGGCCTATGTTGGCATCGGGTGCATGCAAATGGGATTTCGTCAAAGGTC